GGCGTCGAGGCTGACTAAGGAGGTGGCCGCCGCCATCCTCGAGGAGCTCACTATCTGGGTCAAGTGCAAATTTTTCGAGCGTTGCCCTCTCGAGGGCGCTCGGAGAGCAGGGCGAAGCATTGAAGGGGGGTCAACTTCACTCTGCCGCCCGGCAGTGCCGCCATCCTCGGGCAGGTCCCGGGCTGCGAGTCGGTCGACGAGGGGGCCGAGTGCCCGCGTCGCAACGAGCCGGGCACGGGCTGCAAGGATGCGCCGAGAGTTTTCTCTGCGGAGCTTGCCCGGGCCACGCGCCCAGAGGAGCGCGGGGCCGAGCCGACGCGGCGGGGCCTGGAATCCGAGGTCAATCGCGAGGCGCCCGGCACCTGTGGCGCCAGCGCCCCGGAGGTGGTTCTTATGCTGTCCAAGCACGCTGTCGACCTCAAGACAGCAGGACGCAAGGACCGCGTCGACAGTCTCATCGGCCACATCGAGAGCGTCTGCGTCAAGAGGATGGGGACTACGACGACTTCATCAAGTGCGGCGCCCACCAACACCGCAGTGCCGACGGCGGCGCGGTGCCCGACCAGGACGAGTACATCGACGCGCCGGTCCCCGCCGGGCGCGTCGACTCGGCCAAGTGGAAGGCCAGCGAGCGGGCTGGGGATCCATTCCCCGTCTTGGTTGTCTCCCTCGGAGCAGCTACCTGCGCGCTGCTCGCGCGGCGCCGCGTTGCCGCCTGCGTCTTCGCGCGGCAGATGGCCGAGAACAAGCTGCGCGTCGGGCGCGGCATGCAGCTGAACGCCAGTGTCCTGGGGATTCAGAAGATCATGGCGCGCGTCGTCTACCCTTCGAGGGAGCGCGCCATCAGGATCTGCGCGCGCAGCGATGGCTCCTTGAGGCGCGAGGAGGAGACGGGATGCGGCGTGAGACTCGCCGCGCACATGCGCCTGGGCAAGTGTCGCATCACTGGTAAACAGATCTGACACCTGCTCGCCGCTGCGAGCTGATCACACGAACTCGCGTGTCGATCGTCATTTGGCCCCGAGCTGCTCGCCTCATGTGGGGCAGCAGACGGGCAACAGGCGCGACTCCTCGCACTCCGCGAGACGTCGCCAGGGCCCGCCTCTGCGGGCGAGATCAGGGGGCTGGGGGAGTGGGGGAGCTGCGCCATGCGGGCCGAGCTGGTCGCAGACGGCGCGTCCGACTTCTCGGCTCTGGCCATGGACCACGTCCGCCCGCCGTTCGAGAACAGCATGGCGGGCCACCTGCGGTGGCTGGCGGACCAGCTTCGCGCCCGGCAGCTATCCGACACGCAGTGGCGCGACGCCCGTGACCTGCGAGCGGGCACCATGCCGAAGCGTGCATCGGGAGAGCCCATCCTCGGCGCCATGTAGGGCAAGCTTGTTCACGCCCATCCAGCAGCGAGGTGAAGCGAGGAGCGCAACGAGAAGGCCGCCCCAAGCTCCAGCTACAGCGACCTCACCAAGGAAAAGAAAAGGGTGGCCAGATAGCGGACCCAGGCGAACTATGTTCGCGAAACGAAGTTGTGAGCCATTCTGCATAATGCGAAATGCCTTCGCATAATGCGGCACATTGAGCCACTGCGAGGTGATGCTGCCTTCTTGAAGCGCGTTTGAGTGGCAACGGGTGAGTTGAGAGGCCGCTTGCACTTTCAATCGTCTGCTGTTCATGTTGGAGGGGTTGGCTGATTTGTTTCAGCTCGTCCCGTGGTCAATATGGGGGTGCCTCCACCCCTGCCGCGGACGCCGAAAAAGAGTTTTTGCGGTTGGCGCCGCGGGGGCCAAAGCGCCCCGGGGTGGAACGAAGTCCACCACTACGGGGCCGGCCGAAGCCGATTAGTTCACCCTTTCTGCGAGGCACAACGCGCTCGCGCGAGCACCTGACTCGAGCAGTAGCGTTGCGAAGCGTAGCAGCATGTGCAGCATGGCAAACAGGCGGGTAAATATTGCGATCCATGGGCGCTCGGCTCAAGGCTGGCCGTAGCCGCGCCCGCTATTCAGTGTTTCCAGGTACCTCTGCAGCGCTCTACGGAAAAAACATCGGTTTCAAACTATTGTGCCTGTCCCTCCGCCTGTAAGGCATCATAGTGCGCCTCTTGTTCGTTCGCGCGCATGTCGGTGAGTACTCTCCGTGAGTCGCCCTCGCGCTCCTGTGCATGCTCAGCGTCCCTTGTCCTGGCCAGGCGTTCGATGTTGGCGACTCATTTCTGGATCCTCTCGTGGGCCTGATGGACTGTGGCCTCCATGTGCATCTCCTGTTCGTGCAGTCCTTCGTGGGTTTGTAGGTTCTTGCCTTCTGCGTCGCCCCACTTGCGGTACAAACTGATACGGCCCTTGTGTCGTTGATGCGCGCCTCGGCTGGTAGTGCTTCAATGTTTGCGATCATATGAGTTGTATCCATGGCCATGTTGTAGTAGGTTTGTTTTTTTACTTGTAATCCTTATTGCTCTCCGTCGCTGTTGCTCCATGTTGGAACGGTCTGTGTTGTTGTCGATGGGTCTCCAGGTGTCGGCTTGGCGCTGCGGATCTCGTCCATGAGCTCGTTATAGTAGTACTTTGGCCTTCTCCTTCCCTCCATATTTCGATTGTTGTAGTGTTTCCGTGCGGCTTTCTCGGTTCTTTGGAGATGTTATTTAAGGTCCCAGATCTCATTGTCGACGTCGGTCTTGTTTTGTTTTGATGTCAACGGTTGTGCGTTGGTTGTCCTCCGTCAGGGTCCTGACTGAGGTGCCGACGTCGTGTTCTTTTGCGTTTTCCCCCGCCCTTGTTTGTCCCACTGGGGCCAGGGTGTTTTTTTGGGGGGGAAGGTCCATTTGTGGTTTTTCATCTTCGTCATCAGAAGCTCCTGTGTCGCTATAGTGGTCGTCCTTTGCGTTGCTGATGTCCTTGCGAAGAAAATTGGTCTCCCATATCTTCTTCTCGAATTCGTTACTGTAGTTTTGTATATGCATCGTGTGTGCTTTGGTGTGCTCTTGATAGTCCTGCATGGTCTGCTTCGTGGTGTTGATTTCCCTCGCCTGCTGGGCTCGGGCCATGCTGCTGAGGATCATGGCTTTTGGTGAAGGCGATACAGTGGTGGCGCGCATCAAGAAACCATATGCTTTTCGTCAGGGCATCCTGGGTTTCTTCGCTCCGCGCGCTGCGCGGCGACTTCCCGCGGCCACTGAAGGAGCTGCTGCGTTCAGGGTGCTCCGGGTTTCCCCTCCGATGCACCTCGTGCGCGGGTTCTCAGGGTTGGGTTTCTGGCGGGGGGTTCTTGCGGCCGCGCTCGCACTGTATGTGTCACGGCGTCTATGGTAGGTAGCCTTGCTGCGCTGTTTTGGCGATGGCTGTTGCGGGATCGCCTTATCTCTATGTGTTTGATTTTGTTCCATTCGTCCCTCAGCTTGGCGTTGTTGGGTGGGAGTTCCCAGTCGTGCACCCTGGTGGCGTAGGTGTTCCTCATGGGGCATGACATTGTTGATCGCGTTGGTGATGTGGTCGTTGTAGTTCTGTGTATCGTCCTTTTTCTTGTTTGCATGTTCTCTGTTGGATTGGGCTTATGCCTTGCCCTTGCCCTTCTTGTTATTCCCTTGCCCTTGCCCTGTCGGGTTCATGGTCTTCCTCTGCGGTCCTTCTCTTTCCGCCGTAGTTGTTGCCTTTTACCGTTGTGGTTCTGGTTCCGGTGCGGAGGAGGAGGAGGAGGAGGAGGAGGCAGAGGAAGAGGAAGAGGAGAAAGAGGAAGAGGAAGAGGAGGAGGAGGCGGAGGAGGAGTGTCGGGTGGTCCTTGGTCCAACGGTCAGTCTAGTTGTAGTTCCTCCTGCGTTTGAGGCCCACCCCGATTGCCGGCGCAGCGGGCTTCGGCGTCGTTGCTCTGCGTCGTGGTCGGCTCGATGCTGACCTCCACGGTGGTGGCGCGGCTCCCTGTCCCCAGCGATCCAACGCATTGAGAACATCGAGACCGAGGCTGTTGGCAAAGTTCGGCCCCAGGGGGGCCCTCGCCCGGCCTCGGGACCGTCAAGCAACGGCTCGGGATGACCAGCCGGTCCTGGGGAATGGGTCGAGACTTCCGGGGACCGCGCATTGAACAAATCACGGCGTCGGATCTTCTCTGGGGTCCTCGCGCAGTTGTCTGCCAAGACGTCGCCATGGTTGGAGCTTGAGGGCGGGTGTCGCGGCAGCTGCTGTGCGCTGTGGTGCTGGTCGAGGAGTAGTAGAGCTGTGTGTAGCTGCTGCTGTGTCTGAGGTGCGTGCTGGGGCTGCAGGTAAGAGTGCACGTGCTGCTGCTCGCTTTTCGCGTTCCCTGCGGTGCCACGTAGGTTCCGTGGGCGCCGTCGTCGTTGATTGCCTGGTGGTAGCGCTTGACCAAAGTTGGCCCTGCGAGTGGTGCTGTGCTGGCGTCTGAAGAGGTGATTGACGGAGTCGCTGTTGTGGATGTCGTGAGGTCGGAGACCTCTGAACTTGCGAAGCTTGAGGGCGTAAGAGGTGTAAGATGAAAGAATTAATGATGGGCGTGTCTTCCACCACCACCATAAGCTGGAGGGGGAGGGGGTCCTCCTTCTCCTCCTCCACCTCCTCCTCCTCCTCCTCCTCCTCTTCCTCACCTTCTCTTCGTCCTCCTCCTCCTCCTCTTCGTCCTCCTTTCGAGCCTTTCGATGCCAGTTCTGTGCCCGCGGAGCAGGCGTAGCCGTTGGGCGAAGGGGGACCACCTCTCCCCCCCCGCTCAGAGGAAGTCGTTCAAGTGGTTGCCGAACTCGATGCGCTCGTCCGCTCTGCGGTGGGCCTAACCCCTCGCCCTGCTGGGGTGGGCTGCGCCCTGGGCCTAACCCCTGGCCCCGCTGGGGTGACTATGATGACCCAGTCAAAGGCGTCGCTGTACTCGGCGTCCGCGAGCTTGGTCCTAACCCCTCGCCCTGCTGGGGTGGACATCGCCTCGCAGACTACGTCGCGCCGCCGCCGTACTTGCTGTGGTAGCCGTCGGAGTCCTCACTGAAGGAGTGGTCCTGGGGCTGGTCGCGGTACCTTCCTCGGTCTCGCGCTGGCCGTAGGCGTCGTCGTGCTCGGACGCGTCGCCATCGTCGGCCGCGGGCTCTGGAAGGCGGAAGCGCACCGTCTTCGAGTGGTGCTTCTTCTTGGGGAAGAGGTCGCGGTTGTCTGTTCGCTCCTCATTCTTGAGTAGCGGAGCCCAGCGCGGGTCCGCAGCGAGCATTGCCTTGGGGTCCTCCGTGAGCCAGTCCGCCATCTCTTCGCAGTTGAGGCTGCACAATGCCTCCGCTGCCACCTCCTCCGATCAGCCGCCTTGCACGGCGTAGCGCAGGAAGTTCGCGTAGGCGGCCAGCTCGGCAATCGTCGTGTCCTCGTAGGTGTTGCGCTGGGCCTGAGGGAGCTGCGCGTACGCCGCGGATGCTCCCATCGATTGTGCTGTGCCCCAGCGCGCTCGCAGGGCTGCCAGTTCTTCCTCGTTCTTGTTGGTCGCCTCCTCCATCTCGTCCTCGAGGTCCTCAAAGACTCGCCTCGGGCTTCGGATTGTCGGCGGGATTCGGCTTCGCTCCCAGAATGCCCTGTCGATCTCGAGAGCCTTGCCGCCTGTGCCCTCCGCGGTGTAGTAGCCGGTGGGCACGTGGTGCTCCTTGAGCTCCTCTAGCTGCGCCTCGCAGTCCGAGTCGTCGTCTTCCGCGTCCTCCTGCTCGTACTCTTCGTGGCTCTCATCTCTGATGTCCATGATATCGGGCGGCCCGTTTAGGGGGGGCCAGTCCCGCTGCGTACTCGGTGTTTTTGTGACCCTTGGTACGACGAGGTCATTGGCGTGCGGGATCCCGTTCATGTTGTCTGGCTCGACCAAGGATTCCTGGTCGCTCAGCGCGTGGTTTTTCTTGTCTGGATCCTCCTTCAAATCCCCTTTATGGTCGTCTGGATCCTCCTCCTGGTCATCTGGGTCCTTCTGGTTGTGCTTGCGGTCGCTGTTGCGGCGCGCCGTGGCTGCGCGCGCGGCTTTCGCCGCTGCCGCGTGCAGCAGGGCCGCCGTGGGGTAAGCGACGGCGGACCGGGAAATGCCGCCGTCGCCGCCGAAGTCGCCGAAGTCGCAGTGCTCCTCGAAGTCGTAGTTGTCGTAGCCGTCGTTGCCATGGTAGTCCGAGGAAACACTGGGGATGAGCGGCGGCAGGTGCAGTGGCCTGATCTCTATGACGATGTACTTGTGGGCGACCTGCTCCGCTGCCTCAGGTGGGCCCGCGCACGCGGGGGATGCAGACTCCTCGGATTCCTTGGTCACGGCGGACAACAAGGCGTGCTGAGCGTCGTCGCGCCGCGAGCTGCCTGCACAGGCCCTCCCGAGTCGTGGACCGCGCTGGGCGACCCGCCAAGCCGCCGCGGGCGCCCCGTCAGGAGGCAGCTGGCGGGCGTGCAGTTCGCAGTTTCGCACAAGCACGCGCTCCGCTGAGGCCGTCACGCCCTGGACTCAGGCGGCGAGGACAGGCCTCGCAAGTCGTTCCCTCCTGTTGACGTCGTCGGCGAGAGAGGCCAGCCGCCCTCCCTCTAGGTCGGGCTCGCCGCGTGCTCCGTGCAGGCAGCGCCAGAGTGCACGCTCGCATGCTTCGCGGCCACGCCGCCTGGCGAGCCGCCTCGCCGCTGAGCGCCCGAGGTTGGTGTCGTCCTCGGCGCGCATGGGCCGCACCGCCAGCCAGCGGCGGCCCCCCGCAGCCATGCCGTGTGCCCGCGCCGCCATGCCAAGCCTGGGTGAGCCAAGATGGTTGGGGCGCGCGTCGCGGCTTGAGCCAAAATGGCTACGGACTCTTCGTCCTCCTCCTCCTCCTCCCCCTCCAACTTATGGTGGTGGTTGTGGAAAGCAGGCCCATCAATGAACGGATGTAGGAGGTTTGGAAGAAGAATACGCCGTGGGTCCAGCAGGCGCATTGGCAGGATGGGCATGGCACGAACGGCGGGTGCTCGGCTGCTCCTCGCCTGCCAAGAGGCCTTCTGATTCATGGCACTATGGCCGGCAACGTTGAATGATTTAGAGAGGGAGGAGAGGGAGGAGGAGGAGGACGAGGAGTGGGAGGAGGAGGACGAAGAGAAGGAGGAGGAGGATGAGGCGAGGGACAAGCTAGGTGCGCTCGCACCCTTCCCTCCCTCCCACCCCTTCCAATGGCGGAGATATCCTCTCCATTCGCACAGTCACATGTCGAGCATGGCAAGGATCGCGATTGGGTACGCGATGCATGGTAGAGAACGGCACGGCATGGCGTAGAAGAGCACGCCAGAGCGTAGCATGCCATAGCATGGCGTGGCATTGCGCAGCGAAGCATTGCATCACAAAGCATTGCAACGCACAGCATGTCATGGCATGGTGCTGGGTTCCTTGGAGGGTAAGTGGATCGTCTTCGAGAGGTCTGGGCCGGACAGGAGTCGTGGCTCCATGTCTAGCTCCCTGGGCTTCCCTAAAAGCTCCACGCCTTCTCAAAGCAGAAACGGGGCTCCCGCTTGACACTTCCTGAAAACAACGACGCCCCAAAGTGGGGGGAGCTTCTGCGGCCAAAAAGATCAAAGAATCGACACCGAATGTGCAATCACATCCGGTGTTTTTTTCGGGGGATCACTTTCTAAATTTCGGAGCCTACTTGGAAGGACCGAAATTGCCCGCCTTGCAGTGGGAGCACGATTTGGAACAACCAGAGGCGCAGAAATCTGGCCAGCGCTTCAGCGGGAGCAAAATTTTGAACAACAGAACCCAAGCGAAAACCCAACTCCCAGGAATCTTGTGTGTAACAAAAATACGCGGAGGGGTGGCGGATATCTTCCGGACGTCATGAGGGGGGAGTAGTATTCATATTGTAATTGTGGAGGAGGGGGAGGATGTAAGAGGTTTGGGAAGAAAATGTAAAAGGTGTCCTGGTTCTGTTCGCGCATGCCCACCTGAGGGTTCCGCGCTGCCGCGTCCTGAGCGGGCCGTGCCCCCTCCTCCTCCTCCTTCTCCTCCTCCTCCTCCTCCTTCCCCTCCTCATTGATCTCCTCGTTGCCCTCCTCTTCATTATTTTCCTCCTCGTTATTCCCTCATTATTCTCCTCCTCCTCCTCCTCCGCCTAGTCCTCCCCCTTCTCCTCCTCCCCCTTCCCTTCCCTCGTCTCCTCCTGTGAGCTGTGAGCTGATGGCGAGAAGTTTGCCACCGACGCCACCCTGCCCCCGCCCCAGGGCCGGTCGGCACTGGGGGGGGGATCAAGTCAAAGCCAGGCGACTCCTGGAGCAGCAGGGGCCTGCTCCAGTGGTCGCTCGCTCTCTCTCTCTCTCTCGTTTTTTTTTGTTCTCTATCTCTCTCTCTCGCTGAGGCTGGCTGGAATTTCAGCAGGTTGATGCCAATTTGGATTTCCGCAGGGGTAGTTATGTATGCTCCGCGCGCAAGCGAGCCAGGTATGACTACGACTTCGTAGCTCTTGTGGCCCTTCGCGTCGGCGTTGCTCTGTGGAAGCGCCCATTTTTTTCGGCTGAATGCGCTGTGTGCAGAGGCCGGCATGATGCACGCGCAAACGAGCCAGGTATCTTGCATCACATAGTTCGCTCAACAAAATTATCCCAGTGCGACCCTACCTCGGAGTTGGAACCCCTAGGAAAGCAGCATTAGTCGTAACAGTAACGCTAAGCTCAAGCTAAGCTAAAGCTAAGCTAAAGCTAAGCTAAAGCTAAGCTAAAGCTAAGCTAAAGCTAAACCACATCTAAGCTAAAGCTAAGCTAAAGCTAAGCTAAAGCTAAGCTAACGCTAAGCTAAAGCTAAGCTACAGCTGAGCAACAGCTAAGCTAAAGCTAAGCTACAGCTAAGCTACAGCTAAGCTAAAGCTAAGCTAAAACTAAGCTAAAGCTAAGCTACAGCTAAGCTACAGCTAAGCTACAGCTAAGCTAAATCTAAGCTACAGCTAAGCTCAAGCTAAGCTCAAGCTCAGCTAAAGCTAAGCTAAAGCTAAGCTAAAAGCTAAGCGAAAAGCTAAGCGAAACGCTAAGCTAAAGATAAGCTACAGCTAAGATAAAGCTAAGCTAAAGCTAAGCTAAAGCTAAAGCTAAAGCTAAAGCTCCCAGGGGACGGGGGGAACCGCTCCCAGGGAACTGGGGGAACCGCCGGGGCGGTGTGCACTGCCCGGCCCCTTTAAGCTAAGAGAGTAAGAACCCTTCTAGGCAGAGCCTAGGTAGGGAACTTTCACCACATTTGTTGCTCGACGCATAGTCTAACACATATATTGCACTACCACTTTTGTACAACGTAGGATGCAGCGCATTTATTGCAACACATCGATTGCACAGCACATAGGTCATTGCATCTATGATAGATTGCGCCTCCCCGATTGCACAACATCGGTTGCACAACATCGGTTGCACAACATAGGCTGCACCGCATTGGTTGCACCACGCACACACGTTGCGCCACATAATTTGCTCAGTAGATTGCATAACATCCCATTTCTTCTCCTTTCTAGAAAAGAAATAGGATCCCCCCCCGGGCTTCATCGGTCCGCCTTTTTGTTGGCAATTTACATATGCTTCTGCCCCATGGTCCATCCGAAATATGAATTCGCACCATCCCAGGGGCGCTGGTATCGCCCCACCCCCCCACCATCCTTTGCAAAACCTACTCTGCGCGCGCACTCGTTTATCAAATATCCGCCGCCAGCGTTCATTTCAAATAGGTTAGACGACTCAAATCAAGGAATCAGAAGAATCAAGCATGCTTGGAATCCGCAACTCAGCAAGCAAGCAAGCGTGCAAGCAAGCGCGCAAGCAAGCAAGCAGGCAAGCAAGCGTGCAAGCAAGCAAGCATGCATAGGCATAGGCGGAGTCATAGGAGTTAGGGGGGAGGCATTGGCATAGGCAGAGGCCTAGCCATAGGAGTTAGGGCGGGGCATCGGAATTAGGGGGGGCCACGGACGCATTAGTAGAGAATGACTTAGCACTCCTACAGGGCAGGCCTATTTGGCGAAACTCGCAAGTTTTTGATAATCCCTTGAACAAGCAAAACGCGACAAAATGCACACGCGCACGTTGTCGCGCGCGCATGCCGAGATTCTTCAAACATTTTCGTTTTCGTCAAAATCAAAACCGACTGTCCAAACCGCATGCAAAACAACACATGGTTTTGCAACACGGATGTTCCCCAAAAACGCGCGCGCGCTCTTGCGATTTCGTGAAAAGTCCATTGGTTTTTCAACATGTTCATCACGACGACGCGCGTGCCGACATCCTTCGAGGACATCGGGTTCCGCAGCGGTTTCAGAACCGAGCTTCGACAAGAAAAAAACATGCAAGCACACATGGTTTCGCAGCATCGGTGTTCAAAAAAAGCTTGCGCTCGTGCCCTAGCGAACTCGTGAGAATCCCGTATGATTGTCAACATCCCCATGACATTCTGCCAGATGGGCCTCTGGCGCCTCATGCCGACATCGTTCGCGCGCCCTTGCGCGCGTGCTGGGGAAGGCACGATCCGTGTCAAATAAAACCATGCGGGCCATTGCCGCGCGTCGGCCGCGCGCGCGCGTCGTCGTCGTCGCCGCCATCGCCATCATCATCGCTACTCTCAGCATCGCGTCTACCGTTGTCGGCGTTGCCATGATACCGCGCCCGCCGAAGTCGTTGAAACGCAGTGAAGTGCCCGCTGGGGTGTGCCCAGCGGTC